GGTTATATGTGCAAGTAAACTGGTTCCGTGATTCGAACCCGTCACGTCAAGTCCCAATAAAGAACATTACCGTTGTAGCTCATAATTGATTTTTCATGAACTGTGTCGAGGGGATTCTATACATTTCTTGGCCTTTAGGCTAAGATCAATAGTCAATGGGATTCCAGAATCATATATACACACATTATACTTTCCTTTATGGTATTCCTATTTTATGATTTCTGGTTTTTATTTCAGAAGCCTACGATCCACTTGATCCCAATGGAAATATCACAATTAAATGGGATATCATGACCTGGACTCCTGATGGATACGTTGTAAGTATAAGTAAACCCTAACTTTTTTGTTTGTGGTATAGCAGCACTACTATTGAAAGTACTAATAGAGCGTATCCTTTTATTGAGAACAATTTTGTACTTATAGAATTTGGTTCAATATACTTTTTTGGGTCGTTTTCACTTTTAAGTCAAGCTGAGTAATGCTTTCATTAGGTCAAAGGGCACATCTTATGAAGGCGTGATATGGATTAAGTAGCTAATCAGCTTCTTGTTGGGATTGGATAGGCTGTTGTTACAATGTACAACTTCCAGCAATATCGACACATTCAAGCACCGGGCTGGTCATTAGGATGGACGTGGGCAGAGAAGGAGCTGATTTGGAACATGATTGGAAGTCAAACCACAGAGCAAGGTGATTGTTCAAGATTCAAAGGGAACATTCCACATTGCTGTAAGAAGGACCCAACGGTCGTGGACTTGCTGCCAGGAACTCCTTACAACCAGCAGGTTGCAAATTGCTGCAAGGGAGGAGTACTTAACTCATGGGGGCAGGATCCAGCAAATGCTGCAAGCTCATTCCAGCTCAGTGTTGGTGCAGCCGGAACCACCAACAAAACTGTAAGAGTGCCTAGGAACTTCACCTTGAAAACCCCAGGACCTGGCTATACTTGTGGACCCACAAAAGTTAGCAAACCTAGTACATTTTTTTCCCAAGATGGAAGGAGAGTAACACAACCTATGAGTAAGTTACTTGCAAAGAGTGTAAAACCCTTTGTTTACATTTATACGTGCNACATTTTTTTCCCAAGATGGAAGGAGAGTAACACAAGCTATGAGTAAGTTACTTGCAAAGAGTGTAAAACCCTTTGTTTACATTTATACGTGCTTCTTTAATCTTTAAAGATCAAGCCAGCGCTAGAATCGATTATTCCTATAGCTGATAAATTCATCTAAAACTGAAATGTGTTAAGACTTCATTCATCATTGATCTGCGGTGTCCTGAAGTGAAGTGGGANGCTTCTTTAATCTTTAAAGATCAAGCCAGCGCTAGAATCGATTATTCCTATAGCTGATAAATTCATCTAAAACTGAAATGTGTTAAGACTTCATTCATCATTGATCTGCGGTGTCCTGAAGTGAAGTGGGAGGTAAAAGTGCCTATTTAGATAATCATTTAAATTGTTTCAAATTGCTTTTCAGTTTCTGGTGTGAGAAGTTGTTATTTAAATTGTTTCTCTTATGGCAGTGACATGGAATGTTATATGCACATATACCCAATTCTTGGATCAGAAAGCTCCTACTTGCTGTGTCTCTCTCTCATCTTTCTATAATGACACGATTGTACCCTGTCCAACATGTACCTGTGGCTGCCAAAACAACAGTACTCAGCCAGGGAACTGCGTAGAGTAAGTTCTTTCATAAGTCTCTCACCTACTCTTGTTTTTGTCCTGTTAATATGATTCCTCCTATTTTCTTCTAACACGTTTTTCTATTCCTTTCTGTTCCATTTTAAAGCCCAAACCCTCCATACTTACCATCCATTTTTTCAAGCCCCGCCAAGAACAGCTATGCGCCTCTGGTCAAATGCACAAGTCATATGTGCCCAATTCGAATTCACTGGCATGTGAAACTAAATTCCAAGGAATATTGGCAAGTGCAGGTCACAATAACAAACTTCAATTACAGGATGAACTACACACAGTGGAACTTAGTCGTCCAACATCCCAACTTTGACAATCTGTCGCAGTTTTTCGGCATTAACTACAAACCATTGACTCCTTATGCATCTATTAGTAAGTTAGATTTCTTGCAGTGATGTTCTTTATATAGGTAAAGGGCATGATGTATCAACTAGGAGGTGTCTTCTTATAGTAGAACTGTTTGGTGGGATGTATTGATTCGTTTATCTGTATTTAAGTTATGATGGTTGGGGATAAGAAAATGATACTAGTTCAGGTCTAGCTATGCACACTTCATTGCCTAATTGATGGAGTTTGAGAATAGATCTGACAATTTTTCCCTTTCTGGTGCACTTTATTTCTGAACAGATGATACTGCCATGCTATGGGGCATCAAGTTCTATAATGATGTGCTCATGCAAGCTGGTACTTTGGGTTTGGGGAATGTTCAGTTGGAGCTACTTTTCAGAAAGGATAAATCGACTTTCACTTTTGAGAAGGGTTGGGCTTTTCCTCGAAGGATCTATTTCAATGGTGATAATTGTGGCATGCCACCTCCTGATGCCTATCCATATTTGCCAAAGACCAGTTCTCGGTGAAAGATCCCCTTGCTGACTCTGATGGTGGTCCTGTTGTCATCTTTGGCGTTCTTCTTTGCATGTGTTTACAAATCTTCCGTGGTACCGGTGCAGATTGACTGTTTCAAATGTTTTTGTTGCATCAGTTTGGCCTAAACCTTTGGGAAACTATTTAAAGATTTAAAGACAGCTTATAGTTCGTTTAATTAATTTGTGTTCTCGCTACTAATTTCATTTTCAAGGTATGAATCCTCTTGAATAATTCGAACACTACTTGTAGTAAAGTAAAACTTTCAATGATGCATAAATGAATTATTCCACAACAGAAAAAGAATTGCTTACTATAGGATATAGTATATTTCCGTAAGTCAAGTTCTTGTGTGCTTTGCTTGCAGGGTACAAGTTGTGAAAATAGCCTGTTTACAGGGGATAAAGTTGTGTACATCTAACCCTCTTTGAACTCCATAATAACGGGAGCCTCGTGTATTGAGTATACCCTTAAGTTCTTGTATGCTTTGGAAGATCCTTAAAATTAAAATTTGTGTACCTTTAATTTGGTTTGATGGGGGCAGCATGCACTTATCTCCATTAGAGTACCCTTTCTGGGGAAATGCCCATCCTTGCTTGAGGGTGAAAGTGTTCTTTTCCTTCTGGAGGAGGACCTTTTACTGAGATTTTCCGACTGGCCTAGCCTCTGTTGAAGGACTCTGTAGAATTTCATGCCTCAGGAACATTCCTGTATCATCTGCATATCGAACTACTTCAACATGAGATTAAGATTTCTTGAATCCACTCCTGTAATTAGCTGATAAATCACTTGGGGTCGAGTGCGATAACAGTTCAGTTTTAAAGACTGTTCATTTATCAAACAAACTGAGTTGAAGTCGAGTTGATTCTAAACAATCCTCAAGACATAGTGACACTATTATCAATACCACTCTTTGGTCTAAAAATACATTTGTCACATCGATCCTTCGTTAGAGGGATGGCAAGGTCGGTTGTACATTTGGAGA